TCTCCAGTGAACCTAACATAGAGTGCCTTTTTCTTGCAGCTGGAATTAGTGAGAAAGAGTGATCTTTATGAAATATAGGGATCAGAGCTTGGAACAGTTACGTTTGTATGAACTGTGTGAATTGTATGTACCGTTTGCAATTGTCTGCCTGTTGAAAACTGCTTTTTACAGCTCCTGCTCCTGTTCCTGGATAATCTGTTTACAGTCACTGCCGACTCTGTAGAATACATATACTTTCTATAGTATGTTTGTGTGTGTGCCTTCTATACTAAAGGGGGACTCTAGTGCAATGATAGATTTCATAACAATCCAGGTTCTTTCTAAACCACTTTTTCATTCCAGATGCCTAAATATACAATTGTATTCAGCACGTAAAAATGAACCAGTCTGGCAGGATCAGCATGAATCTTAGTGCTTTCATATGTGTTAATATGAGTCCTATGTGTTATAGTTGTGTTCTTCCATAAAGAGAGAGAGTGAAACTGTTTGATCCAACTATGACCCACATTAGAGATACCAGCTGGTACTTTCCCTTGGCAATTTCTGGAAACAGACATGAAGTGGATGTGGCTATATGTATAATTTGAAGTGGCACAAGTAATTGGATTGGCTGATGATTTGTTTATTGTTTTTATCCCATCAGAGATAGTAGTTAACAATTGTAATTTGGATGCAAGGCATTTCCTTGGACTGACCACCAACCAGGAGGAGATGTATGATGAACTGAAGCACAGCTGAGCGCCATTAATTCCAACTGGACACTAATCCCTGGGAAATTTCTCTCCACTACCAAGATTATTTGTAATGGAAAAAGTGATTATATCTTATTAGTTTTTGATGGTGTGGGAGCAAGAGACCTACAGGTAGTATTATCGCCTTTATGTATCTCCCGAAAATGAATGCAACCTCAGTGAGATCTCTTTGTGCTGTCAGTAAGGAATATACCTATCAACCTACTTCCAAGTAACAATTGGCTGGTGCCCTTCCTTAACAATTTTTCATGTTGTATACTGTATATATATCATATCTCAGAAGAGATATAATTCTGAGAAATATAATTCTGACGTCAGAAATATCTCTCTGAGAGTTCTGTCCACTGTTGCCAGACAATCAGTGCATGTCTACACTGGCTAAAAAAAAACCAAACTCACCTCACAGGTGTTGTGACTCGGGCACACAATGTTAACAACAATTTGCAGGTAATACAGGGCTTTTTGTCAAAAATGTGATTTAAAAAGAACTGTCTTTTACCCCGCATTTACCTGGAAAATCCAGATAATCATATGTGTGGTTGGCACTCTTGAGGCATCATGGAAGTAGAGCCAGGGGGCAAAAGAGGCTGGTGGAAGGGCTAGGCAGTCATGGTACTCTCTGAATTTCAGCTTTGGTGGTTTGCAGTCACCATTTTTTGGGTGAAATAGCAGGAATATGAATAACTGTAGACCAGTATATAAGCAGGTCAGCATTAACGTACCTCCAGTTAGTAGGATGGCATGTATACAATTTGAATAAATAGGCATTTTGTGTTTGAGCATTTCTGAAGCTTCAGAAAAAACTCTTCAGTGGCAGTCCCATAGAAAATATAATCAGGATATTACTAAGGACTTTATCACGCGGGGGAAATCCCATGCAGAAATGGGATTTAAAAGCAGAGGAAAACCCGCAAAGACAGGTTGATTTTCACACACATCGCTGTTAAACTGTTGTTAACCCGAATGGAAAGTAGTCAAAAGCTGCTCTTTTTTACATTTGGGATTTTCCGAAAGTAAAAAGGAGCAGCTTTTGACTACTTTCTATTCAGGTTAACAACAGTTTAACATTTTTGACATCGTGTGAAAATCTACCCACTTTTGTAGGGTTTTGACCTGTGTGATAAAGTCCTAAAACTAAGTTCTATTCAGGATTTCTCTAGCTTTACACACAAGACGCAGGAGCATTCTAACTCATCAGCGATGTGACCACAGTGTCCTTTCCTGGAAGAAGTAGATGCCATTCCAGTCTTTTGCGGGGGTTATTCACACGACTACCAGGGTGAATTCGAGATGAATCCTGTGGTTCACATGCATCCCAAATTCATGTGAATTTTGATGCAAATTATACTGTCTGTTTATAGGAATGTACCTGTATTGGCCTCCACTTATGATATACTTGTAACTCAAGCAAATATTACAAAGACTCCATAAGTCTCCAGTGTAATCTCTTCCAAAGAAAATTAAATCCTGTAAAGCTGCCCCTAGAAGTTTCATTGCTCAGAAGTAGGGAGCACACAGCAATATAATTAGAATTATAATCCCTTAGACAGAAAAGTCATGTAATCCTGTAACCTTTCCTGAACCCTCAGATTGGACTAGATATAAATCTAAAATATATATTTCAATTCTAAATGAATTACAGAACAGTACTAACTTCAAGTTACACAAGGATGACTACCCCCCCAAAAAAAAGGAAGAATGAGAGAAACAACAAGAGACCATGCAAAGTTCCACAACAAGCATGTTGCTGTTGATGCTGTGTGCCTTCAAGTTATTTCTGACCCTAAGACAAACTTATCATAGGGTTTTCTTGGCAAGTTTCTTCAGAGGGGGGTTTACCATTGCTGTCCCCTGAGGATGAGAGAATGTGACTTGTCCAAAGTCACCCACAGTCAGTTTACCTGGCTGAGCTGGGATTTGAACTCTGGTCTCCAGAGTCATAGTCCAGTGCTCAAACCGCTACACCATGCTGGCTCCTTTATACATCTAGTTGCAAATTCAGAAATATTTAATATAATTTAAATATTCAGTACATCACACCAGGTGACACAGTGACTTGGAATGATAAAGAGAAGACTATCATGGCCCCTATGCTAGTGACTTTTGTGTCTGCTCAATCTGTGCTCCAGGTGCTAATGGTTGCTGATCAGCTTTATATTCCTTGTTCTCCTCTCCCAGTTCTTTAGCTGTATCTGAACAGCCTTTCAGGTAGATTATTGTTTCAAACAAACTCATCCTCCAACCCACTTGAAGCAGAGGATACATGGCCACCCTACTACACAGCATACAGGATGCAACAAGCAATGAATTATGGCCTCAAGTGCTTTTAAAATCCTCCTCTCCATCCTCCACTTCTTAAAAAGCTTTTCTGTGTGACAACTTCTAATTGAATCATGCATGTTGGCTGGCAGAGCCAGCATGAGTAACCATCATCTCAATGTTTCTAAACACTTTTCTGACAGCAGATTTGCACTTCCCTTAAAATCTTCACATTTTTATCAAAACTATGTTTCTTTTATTCTCTCTGAATTGCTTCTCCTCGTATTTATGCAATTGGGAACAACAAGCTGACTTCTCTCTCCCCCACTCCGACCGACTTGAGTGCCTGTACATAAATGCCACATAATTTGCACAATGTCACCTTGAGAAGTGTTTGCACATATCAGCCTCTTTTACCCAAGGCATGAGAAGTAGTTGATTCTCATGAATTCCATCCATGTTTTACATACACCAGGCTAAATTCAACCCAGGGCTGCCCGTAGTTACTGGAGTCAATAGGATCTGTGAGCCATTGATGGGGAGGATACTTTACGAGAAGTAGGTTTGTAACCTCTTGGCACAGTTTTTATTTGCAAACTGTAAATTAATATTTTACAGCTTAGTGAACGATAATGGAAATCGGTCCTGCACTACACAGTCGCCGGTGCTAGGCATCATGTATTGCCTGCTGCCTAGCAATGTTGCTAAGCAACAGTGCATCATCCACGAAAATCCAGCATTAGCTTGGAGTGGCTGGTAGGGCTAGTTGGACGTGACACTTAGCACACTGAGATACATAGATACTCTCACACATTATTTGAGGAAATATGGATATATTCCAGATGTTATTCCACTTTCTTAATAACTCCTTGGAGTGTGGAATCTGCATCCATGCTTTTCAAGACTCTGTAATTATCCTTGGGCTGAAAAATACTCACAGCTTCTTAAATCTCTATAAGCCTGACTGGGAGAGTAGTGGAATTTTACAGCATTAATCCCATCATGCTTTGTCTCAGTCCCCTGGCCTGCATATTACCTCAGCCTAGCCATGCAGTCAGATCACAATGATGTGACTCACTATTGCAGCTAAAGATAGACCCTGCTACAGCCGTCTTGAATTCTGCATGCAAAGTTTTGCTTGTTTTTCTTCTTTCTTGAAGTTCATTCTGACATTCAGAGGTTTTTCTTCCAGGCGAGCGTGTGGGTGGGAAAACAGGTAGTGTAAATATTGTTGGAAGATTAGGGGGAGAGGGGCATATTCTAGACAGATGGTTCACATGCAAGGTTACGCCAAGACATATTGCTGTCTGAGGCACAGTAGCAAATGCCACACACTCCCTCACCCAGGTCAAGATGCAAAGTATGCAAAGCTGGCCAAGTTATTTTGGCACAAGTAACAGAAAATCCCACAAATACCTTTCCCCATCCCTGGCAGGAAAAAGGCAAGAATAACAACAGAGTAAACAATTTGCTGCTCTTTCGTGACATCTCAAATCTGCTGTTTGAGATGACTGCCTTAGCCTGCTTAATGGTAGAGCCTACCAAGTCTACTTAGATTTATTTACTACTCAGTTTACTAGAGGGCTATACAGACAGATGTATTACTGGAGGTTTTACTAAAGAACTTCTACCAACGCTTGGGAAAGGCTTATTGTTGGTGTTTTGGGTTGCAGCTCTCAAATCTCCCAATTGGATGAGAGATTCTGGAAGTGGCAGTAAAAAAAAAACAAAAAAAACAAGGCTTTCCCACACTGCATGTTGTAATGAAATTATTGCAAAACCACAAAGCAAAACATTTTATGGTGGCATAAAGAAGTCTGCAATTGTTGCTGTTGTTGTTGTGTGCCTTCAAGTTGTTTCCGTCAAGTCAACTTATGACTTGGGAAAACTGTGTGATTTTCTTCGCAAATTTTGTTCAGAGGAGGTGTGCCATTGCCTTCCCTTAAGCTGAGAGCATGTGACTTTATCAAGGTTACCCAGCAGGTTTCATGGTCAAGTAGGGAATTGAACCTTGGTCTCCAGAGTCACAGTCCAACACTCAAACCACTACATCACCCAGGCTCTATAAGACTGCATGAGAGTGGTATAAATGACAGTGGTATCAACTCTGGAAAACAAACCTTATTTTTTCACCTGTGCTATGCTTAAACATAGCAGCATTTAGCCAGCCTAGGAAATTTATTGGAGGTTGGGATATATGTCCCTAAAATAAATACCTTTTCCTAGAATAACTTCCCTAAGGACCCAATTATTTGCCCAGTCTTAGAAGTCAAGCATTTAAAAAAATACACATCTGTCATACTTCTTTAGGAAGAAATTAAGTAAATTTTAGATCTCTTCTCCCTCTTTTCTTTTTCCTTTCATTTGTGCACGCTATAGAAAATACATTAAAAAGGGATGCTAGATTAACTGATCAGACTGTGCTTCTCTTAGACTAGCCAGAAAGCAATCACCAATGTGAAGTCGTAAGCTTTCATGGCCGGCATCTATAGTTTTTTGTGGGTTTTTCGGGCTGTGTGGCCATGTTCTAGAAGAGTTTCTTTCTGATGTTTCACCAACATCTGTGGCTGGCATTCTCTGAAGATGCCAGCCACAGATGCTGGCGAAACATCAGAAAGAAACTCTTCTAGAACATGGCCACACAGCCCGAAAAACCCACAAAAAACTATAGCTATCACCGACATTATCCTGCAAAGTATGTTTTCACTGCACAAGTTATACCTACAAGTTACTGTATGACAAGAGGAGCATTTTAAGTCTCGCTCCATTGGAAGATAAAGAAGATGACCCAATATAGTGGGTTTACAATGGAGTTGTACCACAGTTAGGTGAGCATAACTATAAGGGCCAGCTCAAGACATTTTGGTGCCTGAGGTGGAACAGCGAGTGGCACCTTAATTCATCAAGATAAAGGTACCCAGTGCCCAGAGACAACTAAATTATTTTGAGGGCCGAGGCAGAAGATCCCACAATCACCTGTCCCCATCTTTCCCTGTAATAATTTGTTTCCCTTTTCATGATACCCAAAATAGTCTGCCTAAGACAGCACCTCACTCTGCTAGTGGTAGGGTAGTCCCAATACAATAGTGGGACAACATCAATGCAGTGAGCACCACTGGGATAAGGGGGAGCATGGGGGACTTATCTGGATTCCTCTTCTTGCTCATAAGTCAGTCTCCTCCTCTGCCTTGCTTTTAGCTTGTTAAAACTTGTAATGGATAGCCTCACCTATTGTGACTTCCTCCACAGAACGGTGGGATTAATTTCAAACTAATATTGCTACCAACCATGGTGCACCAAGTGCTAGCTCCATCAAAAAAACTGGTTTTCCACTTCAGGGACTGCTGCATGCTGTGCTGTCTAGACAACCTGAACACCTGAGTGAGAACTCTGGTGATGGGAACTATTGTGGGAAAAATTGGAAGCCAAAGAGAGCAGCAAAGACAAAAAGACATAAGATGGCCCTAACATTAGCAGAATGAGGCAAGGGAGCATTAGACATAGGTATCAGGATGACAGCGATAGCTATTCGTCAACAGCCTTCCAGTCATTCCTATCTGTTGCAAGATGGCAATGTGTATCCCACTCCTGGACCTCCTAAACTAGCCTACTATCTCCAGTGGAATAAAGGATAATCCCCTATTAATTGCCAGACCAGTTACCTTCTGTATGACAGGTGGAGGGGCTAGCATCTTGTTCTTCACCTAAAGAAGCAACATTTCTGAGGTGGTACCAAGAAATATATAGGTCTATACCTAACTGTGAGTACACTTTTGGCCTGAATTCAAGGTGCTTGTGGTAAAGCCCTAAATGACTCCCTCGATGCTTGAGGGAGTGCTTTTGCCAGTCCAAGGACTGAGATCTGCTGGAGGGGCCTTCCTCTGTGTCCCACCAGTGAGGTCAATACACTGTGTGAGGACATGGGAGAGGGCTTTCTTGGGCTGCATCTGCACTACAGAAATAATCCAGGTTGACACCACTTTAACTGCTTTGGCTCAATGCTGTGGAATTCTGGGAATTGTAGTTTGGTGGGACACAAGAGAGCTCTAACAGAGAAGGCTAAATGTCCCCCAAAACTGCAATTCTCAGGATTCCATAGCATTGAGCCATGGCAGTTAAAGTGCTGTCAACCTGGATTATTTCTGTAATGCAGACTCAGCCTTAGAAAGGGCATTCTGGTTGTGGAATGCCCATCCCCTAAAGACCTGCTTGGTTTCCTTTATGTGTCAAGCAAACATCGTTGTTTATTAAACCTTTTCCCCTCCATTATTTACTTCAAATGCTATTGGATGTATTAAACTGTTTTGAACTTTTCAATTTGTTTTAACTTGTCAATGTGTTTAAACAGTCTATTTAAAATTATTTTTATTGTTTTAATTTTTATGACCCTGTTAGTACTGATTTTACTGTATACCATCCTGATACTATTTGATATAGGGCAGGATAAAAATATAGACATATTATCCAATTTCTAGTCCTAGACAGAGTTATCCCATTTAACCAACTGCTGAATGATCAGGCAGTACTTACATAAATAAAATTGATTCAATTGGTCTGCTGTGATTAGGAGTACTAAGTGGATATTGGCCATTACTGGCACATGGGCAAGTGCCCAGCTCATCCTAACCTACTCCTAATGCTGTTGGTGCCACTGATGATTTTTTTAAAAAAAAAAAAACTACCGCTGTTTCAGCAAAACAACTATTATTGTGATCACAAGCAGATGCCTTCTCTCTTATTTCCCACCCTAGCTACACTTCAAGATGGGGAAATGTACACACTAGAAGAAACCTGGCATCATCTTCTCCATCTCATCAGCCCAGATAGGTCTATAACTTCTCCTGAGCCATGTTTAAGAGATAAGAAGGGTCCTAATATCTCCCCACCTTCCTACTTTCCCCTTTTCTACTGTTGGCATGGCAGTAAGCAAAGATTAGTGGAGTCTCCTTCCTTGGAGGTCTTTAAGGAGAGGCTGGATGGCCATCTGTTGGGGATGCTTTGATTGGGAGTTCCTGCATGGCAGGGGTTGGACTGGATGGCCCTTGTGGTCTCTTCCAACTCTATGATTCTATGTCAGGCCTTCTGGAACCCTACCCAGCCAACACCAGCCATCAGTCATGGGGGAAGCATGGTTGGATGGGAAGAGAGGACTCTGGGAGAAAACAAGATGCACCCCAAAGCATATAAGAAGATCTGTATTATCACAATAGAACCTGTGTGTACCTTCTCTAGCCTTTTCCATTGGGAGATTGTACCCAAGGTTTGAATCTGGAACTTCATTTTTGATGTGGCTCAGACCAAGTTTAAATGACTGGGGCCACTATATGGTTATTGGAAAGGAATGGGCCCAAAGCTTGGGAAAGTTCTCTCTCCCACAATCCCCCAGCCAGCATGTCTCATCTGCCTCAAATATCAAAACATTTTGCCTGAACAGTGCTGGATTAACAATCCACACATTTTTCCCCTCAAGGGCATAAACGTTGCTCTCCCACATGCAGTGACCCTCAGCAATGGACATTGGCAGCCTCCAACAAACCACATCGTCATGACTTGCCATTGTACATGTGCTGCCTGGAGCGTACTTGCAACAGTTTATGTTGCGGTTTTACTAGTATTTCTGCTGCCTTGTTTAAATAAATCTAGTGGAAGTTTTTTATGTACCTTTCTTCTTCTTTTTATTTCAGTATGATCTCTGTCTGCAAGAAAAGGTTCCAACATAAAATTCATAAAATGATGGGGAATGTATTTAAGAAAGATTAGACTTTATTTCAACAGAACTGTAGAAAAGCTCAGGAAGTTAATAGCACTTTTTAAAAAGAATTCTTAGCTGATGAAGCATATGAGTTTTACTTAGCCAATCAATTTTACTTACATGTATTTGCATTTAAGAAAAAAATGGTTTGGATTTAAGACACAAATGTAGGAGTGGCTTTTCTTGTTCATAGGCGTGCACCGTTTGCCGACCACCACATTTAATGTAAAATCAAATCAAATCTGCTATTTGACTCATCAGGGATATATTTTACATAAAATGTTTAATCTATCTGATTGTGTCAAACTACAATCTTTATCACACTTATCTGGGAATAAGACTTAATCAACACATGAGAATCAACACTTCTGAGCAGACATGCCTAGAATTATACTCTGTGCAGTACAGTCAGCAACTAAAGCAGGAGTTATCAACCTTTGATCCTCCAGCTGTTTTGTACTTGGGCTCCCAGACTCCTCTGCCAGCATGGCCAGTGATGACAGATTCTGGGAGCTAAAGTCCAAAACATATGAAGGACCAAAGGCTGAGAAACACAGAATATCTTAAACATTCTTAATATGTTCCATGCTTCTTCTCCCTTCCAAATTTAACACAAAACTCCTACTGAACTCCTCAGTGGTATCCAGAAATGTTAAGTTCAGAACTTTGAAAAGGTAACCTTTTGAACTACAACTCCCAGTAGTTGCCAGCTGAGGGGGTCTGGGATTAGCACACCCCTAAACAAAGTGTTTAATCTCTGGGTGAGTTGCTGCTGTAACAATTTACAGGAGAAGCCGTTTCTTTGGAGGAAGGAGTTATGCAAAAAATGGTGCAGCCTTGTATCCCCAGATGATGGCTCAAACCAAGCTCTTACCCAGGTCCAGTACACTCACTTCAGCCTGTTCTTTAAGACTGACCTCCTTGCTAACTTATTTTCTTTTTCGTATTCCATATTTATTAACTCAGTATTTCAGTAGCATATACATTTGATGAGTTGGTTTTCATAGTTGGCAACTAATCAAGGAACAATGTGAAATCACTCTGGGACTTTTTATAGTATCATGATTTCTGCTCATTTCTGGCAAAACAATAGCTAAGGCTTTATTATTTCTAACAGTTATTAGTGGATTCATTATTTTGTATCATGTTCATTGGTCCTAATAAAAAGTATAGCTAATATGTGGATTTTGGAGTATTCTTCTTCAATGCAACTAACTTTGCTGTTTATACTGAAAAATGAGACTTGCTTTTTGCTCCTAAATAGAAATTTTGCACATTTTTGCAAATGTACACTGGTTACATTTTTCTG